ACTAAGTTTCTGTGTTGTTGTGTCGAATGTTAATTACCTTAAGTAATGTAATTTTTGTATGTGTTAATTTTATATTTAAGTAGCAATTCTGTGTACAATTTAATTTAAATAAAACAAGATTTTATAAGAAGAAGAGGAAGTGCTTCAATCCGCAGATGGAGTAGTGCAATGCTACATATCTTACAATGGCATACGATGCCAAGAATGTGCTAGTGATATACACATGTATATATGTAGTAAGAGGAAAATTTGAAAATAACCTCTGTGAAATGTGATTCAAAGAGCTCACTAGGAGATACTGCATTTACAAAATATTATAAAAATTTTTTCTTATGTTTGTAAAATTTTCAAAAGAAATATTCAAACAATTTTCACTTGACTTCGAGATTAAAGTAATTTGTATGCCAATTATTGGAGACTGAATTCACTTACTAGAAAAATATACAAATATGTGTATTAGACTGCATCACTCCACACACAAAAAAAATTGGTACAGCGTTTCCATTGGAATTATAAAACCTAATATAATTTAAGGCTTCCACCAAAATATTTCGGAAAAATATTAAGATTTACGTGAGCTGGACCGGTTTGAAAATACCTCCAAAATGAAGTTTTGTATGAGTAATGATAGTTTCTTAAAGATTAAAAAAAAAAATAGATAAAAAAATCCCCTGGAATGACAAAACGGTTTAAGCTTAGAAAATTTGCATAAACATATTAAAAAAAATGTAAACAAACTTTCAATGGAACCGTAATAATGAGATCTTTGATGCCGCTTTTTAACTTTTTTCGAAGATTGGTATAAGAAGAACTTGAATAACTGAACACAGAAATGAAAAGAGTGGGAAAATACCTTTCTACTGATGCCCAATAAGTCTAAATCGGTTTAGTTTTGGCCCAGTTATTCAAGTTTTCGTTAATCGGTTTAAGAAAATAGTTAAAAATTACCATCAAAAATCACATTATTACGATTCCGTTGAAATTATTTTAAAATATTTTTTTGCAGACTTTTTTAGCTTAATCTTTTTTGTCATCTGAGGGGTTTTTTTTTCAAAAGTTCTTTAAGAAAGTATTTTTATTCATAAAAAAAACTCCATTTTTGGAGATGTTTTCAAATCGGTCCAGCTCACGTAAATCTTAATATTTTTCCGAAATATTTTGTTGGACGTCTTCAAATATAATAAATTTTGTAGTCCCGGCGGAAAAACCGCAACTTTTTTCTTTGGTGATGCAGTCCAATGTATATGAGTGTTATTAAACTGTGGCCTAGTTGCCGTTATAAAGAGTTGGGTTTGAATTCGTCATACCAGTTTAATAGTTGCCTAGTAGCCTATTGTAAGCAAATAGTGGCAAGCTTTTTTATACGAAGCTTTTATGTTAACTGCTAATGGCAATCAACAGCGATTTAAAAGCCCTTAAGCTTCTAACATTAACTAAAAGCATATTACTTGCGCGGTTATATTTATATAGTTTATAGCAGCCATGCGCTGGGCATGCTGGGGTTATAGCCACGGTTGTCACTCGTTTTAAAAATAAACAACCAAAATCTGAAGGAAAAATAGCCATATTGAAAAAAAGCAACTTAATTTGTTATTCACTTATCTATTACAAAAAGAAAAAAATCCAACAATTTTACTGAGTTCAATCACATATTTACATTTTATATGCGCATATAAAACATGTTACATTAAAAATAATATTTTAAAAAATTCATTTATTCGTGTATGGCATTCAGTATGCAAAAATACTTTTTGTAAAGAAAAAAATTTGCTAATTTTTAACGGAAGGTGTCTTAACTTAAAAAGTTGATTAGACCTTTTTATGACCCTGAAACGATATCCAGAGGTCACTTGGACTTAATTATATATTAAACCATGAATCCGATGTGAAAGATTATATAATTGGAATTAAGGGGTTTTGTACTTCTTTTGACCTTGATATAGGCTCAATGGGTTCATATGGATACCGGGAACCTGATAAGCGACGTCACATGCAACATATCGAACCCTTACCGATAAAGATAAGCGATTTTTAAAATTTTCTTTAAGCAAAAATACATCTAGATACTCTGGGAGCATTTGTGCATAAAAAAGAAATTTTTGAAAAAAATATCGCTTACGTTTTTGGCCGTTAAGGTTTGATACGTATATTTTTTCAGTTAATACTTACTTTTTTAAAGCATTTCTCTCTACCCTGTTTAGTATTGAGTTATGACTTTCTTCCAGCAAACGAGTGAAATATGAAACTAATACATATTAGGCAATTAAAACTATTCCTTATCGATTATTTTTATTTCCGAGTTTCCTTGATCCTCTTGGTGGGTCGAGCACTCAGTACTTAGCCAGCCACTTCAAATAGCAAAATTGATCTTGATATAAAAAATTAGCGGCTAAAATTAGCACTACTAGCTCTACTTCATTAAAATTTCCTATAATCGTTATAATAATGTAAAAATGGAACAACTTTCCTTATCACATCAAATTCGGTTCGCCCCGAACACCTGTTTGGTTTCGATACAAGATTCTACAGTACAATATTAGGAATTATACCTTTCTTATTAAATCTACAAAATAACGCATGCCACCATAAACTGCCCACATTTTATATATGTAATTATTGCTAAATGTTTTCGCTGTAATAAAATTGGCAATCACATAAATTGATTTTAAATGGCTTATCGCCTAATTAGCGCATGAGATAAGATGGCGTATGGCTTAGTTAGTGTTCGCCAATGTTTATATTGCTACAAAGCGAAAAAGTAGATCTACTAAATTCATACATTATATGGAAAAACATGTGGCCTATCTGGGTACGATTAAAGATATTTATACTAACGATTGACAGCAGCTGGCAAATATGTGTACTAATATAATAATAGATTGGCGCTTATGCATATGGTATTTGGCCGTGCTTCTCCTCCGATTTGTTGTGTGAAGCCAAGTCCTTCTCCGCGTGGTCTTTCCATCGCAGTGTGAGCCTGCCTCTTCCTCTGCTACCACCGAGTTGCATTCTTTCAGAGCTGTCCAATTGGATGACATGGCCAAGCCTGCGGAACCGCTGTCGTTGTAAAGCTCATACAGCTCATCATTCCATCGTCTGCGGTACCCGTCGTCGTCGATGCGTAGAGCCCCGTAAATCTTCCGCAAAATCTGACTGTTTGTCTGACGACAGGAGATACTAAGTCTTGTCCTCGTTTCCCACCAGACACATTCGCTTTGCTTCCTTAACCCACTTGGAAAAGGCATAAAAGACTTTGCGGTTTTTATTACCGATGGTGTCGATATCATCGGCATACGACAGCAATTGTACGCTCTAGTAAAGTATTGTGCCTGAGCGGTTCAGTTCTGCGGCTTTTATTAACTTCTCCAACAACAGATTAAAGGAATCACACGAAAGGGAGTCGCCTTATTTGAAACCTCGTTTGGTAACAAACGGCTCGGAGAGGTCTTTCCCAATTCTGACGTAGCGTTTTAATTTCGCGGGGATACCGAATTCAGACATCGCTGCGTATAGGCAACTTCTTTTAGTGCTATCGAAAGCGGCTTTGAAATCGTCAAACAGATGGTGTATGTTGATCCTATTCTCGCGGGTCTTTTCCAAGATTAAGTATGTTGTGAATACCTGGTCTATAGTGGACTTGCCAGTTCTGAAGCCACACTGATAAGACGAAATCAGTTCGTTGACGGTGGGCTTCGGCCTTTCACACAATACGCTAGATAATACCTTGGCTTAGAAGGCTCATCCGTACTAGTTGGTGCGTATGGCAGGGTCGCCTTTCTTGTGAACTGGGCAGAGCACACTTAAATTCCAGTCATCGGGTATGCGTTCATCTGGCCATATTCCGAATAAAAGTTTATGGATGAGCCTTTACAGCTCCTAGCCGCCGTACTTCAATAACTCGGCTAGCAGGCTGCCAGGTCCAGCAGTTTTTGTTGTTTTGCAGCTATGTAGTTGCTATTCGTACCTCGTCATAATTAGGCGGTGGGACAACGACTCCATCGTCATCGACTGGGGCTTGGGTTTGTCTTCTTCACTACTTGCTGTCTTACTGGAATTGAATAGGGTGGAAAAATCTGCGCTCCATAATTTAAGTACGTTCTGGATATCTGTCTCTACCTCGCCATGGTTGTTTTTCGCGTCTGGTCTTGAAAACTTGCGTAAGTCGCTTAACTCTCTGATAGAGTTTTCGGGTCTTTTTCCGGTCGGCCAGCATTTCAGGTTCTTCGCACTCACGTATTTCGACCTCTCTCGTTCTATTGCGAGAAATACGTCTCGCTTCCCTCTTCAGTTCGCTATAACAGTCCCTTGTTGGTCACGTTGCGCTCGATCACAGCGTGGCCCTGTAGGTGGCATCTTTTTCTCTGCAGCTTCCTCACACTTCTCATCATTCTTTCGAGCTTGTTGCAATTAGGATTGTGGCTTGGGTAAGAATTAGGTTTGATGGAAAAGAGTCGGGGTTAAAGCATCGTTGCGGACATTTTGGCATAGAAGCCAGAGGACGGCTTCCCTATGTAGACCATTCGGGCGGATAAGACTATAGTGACTATCTAAACAGTCGTAGCAAGCTTCCATTTTTCATCCTCGTAAGCAGCAGTCATTGAGCCAATATCGAAGTACTGCACATTAAAACTGCGTTTTGCTACGGTGGTATGAATTTGGTGAACGGTGTTATTAAGGTATGGAGAGAAATGCTTCTAATACACCAATTTGAATGTGTTTTTTATTGTACTTGTGCAGATGTCTAGCAAATATATAAATGTGTGACTTCTTAAAATTGGTTTTAAAGATAAATCGAATTTAATTACACCAAACGCAAAGGAAAAAGAAGAAGAATGGCAAATACACACACTATTAAAGTGACCAACTTAGACTGGCTAAATTGATAAGCCATAAGCTATCAGCTTTGCGAAAATCAACAATTCCACACAAAAATTCAGATAAAGATTTTCCATGTACACACAAATGAGTTCTCTCTCGTCTTTAGTCGACTAGTGGACTGCATACAGTTAGGCTGTGGCGATGTTAGACAAATTTTTGCAGCTGCTAATTATTTTCTGTGCAGCACTGGTGCTAACCAGCGCTGGCAGCTATGAAGGGTAATACATACTAGGAAAGACACTTAAGTTCGTAAGCTTAGTTTGCAAATCTCTCTATATTTGCAGCTACAAAGTGTATGAAGTTAAAACGGATACGCCTGCGCAGAGAGACAATTTGCTCGCAGTTGCAAGGGAAGCTGGCGACAAATACGACTTTCTTTCTCTAAGCCGTAATTTCAATCAAAGCGCAAGAATACTTGTCTCCGGCGCATACGAGGCGAGCTTAAAGGCTTTACTGCAAGATCATCATCTAACGTTTGAGTTACGAAATTCGAATTTCGGACGCACACTGCAAGCTGAGGTGTTGCAGAATCGCATGCTACGTCAGTCGAAACCCTATGCCGGCACCGGACGTCTTAGCACCGAACGTTATTATTCGCATGACGAAATCAATGCCTATCTAGACGATTTGGCAGCGCGTTATCCATCACGTGCATTCGTCAAAATTGTTGGTAAGTCATATGAAGGCCGCCTACTCAAGAGTATAACCATAACGAATGGCGACGGACGCAATGGGAAGAATGTGATTTTCATTGATGGCGCTTTCCATGCACGCGAATGGATTTCGCCGGCAACGGTGGTTTATTTAATTGGTGAACTTGTTGAAGATTTCGGAGAGCATGCTGAGCTTTTAACCGACTATGATTGGGTTATATTGCCGGTCGTAAATGCCGATGGTTATGAGTACACGCAATGGGCGAGTGAGTTCAGACTTTGGCGTAAGACGCGTCAACCTGTCGAGATAGATGGCACAGTTTGCTATGGCACCGATCCGAATCGCAACTTTGACTTTCACTGGATGGAATTGGGTGCTTCGTCGAATCCTTGCTCGAATATCTATGCGGGACCGCGTGCATTCTCGGAACCCGAGACGGTGATAGTGCGTGATATTATGCATACACTGCGTGATCGTGGGATACTCTATTTGACGGTGCACTCGTATGGCAAGGCCTTATTCTACCCGTGGGGTTGGGGACCGTAAGTGTTGCAGATTCGTGTTTTTGTTTCTTAACCTATTAACAATACCTCAAACTTCTGTATGTTGCAGTGAATTACCGGATACATGGGAGGATTTGCACGAAGTGGCTTTAGCCGGCGCCGATGCTATACGCGCATATAGCGGCACTGAATACGTTGTCGGTTCATCGACTGCGCTGTACGGTGAAGCCGCTGGCGCCAGCGATGACTACGCCTTCAATGATGGCTTCACACTGTCGTATACTATGGAATTACCCGATGGTGGCAGCAGTGGTTTCGATCCACCAGCGTCTGATATCGATCGTTTGGTTAAGGAAACATGGGTGGGCATTCGAGCTGTAGCCAAGAAAGTAACGGAAAAATACTCAGCACGAAAAGTGAATTTGTAATTTATGCAGCAGTCTAAGCGATAAGGTGAAATTGAACTATATAACTCTTATCGGTTATTTTTTGTGTTATTGTAGTGTGCCAAGAATTTAGCAATAATAAAAAACATACAGTTACTATTGTCGTTTTGAAGCTTATGGCCTTAAACTTCACAGCTAAAAGTAGCTATTGATAATGCGCGTCGTGAAGGTAAATTGCACGGCTATGGAATTAATTGTGTAACGCAACGTTTTTGTGTTGCAGAAAATGAGGGCGATGTCCGGAAGCCCTTCGCTGCACTAAGTCCATGAAAATACTAAAATGTTTAGTAATTATTTCAAGTGCAGTCGAGGCATTTAATTAAAAATACGGAAATGACAGCAGTTGCGTTTTTAGGTTGATTTGGAAAAAGGTTGAGGTGAACTGGTAAATTGGTAGCCCAAACGTGTGTGGCTAACTTAAAAATTTCCAAAAACAAAATATATTATTTGATTAGAAATTTTCTTTATCAAAGTACGAAGTACGAAGAACGAATTTTGGGCACAAAAACTGCTAAAAAATGGTGGTGCCAATTTTTCTATTTTGTACCAATAGGCCACAATAAAGAAATTTACAAATTTGTACAAACGGACTTTAGAATTTAAGTTCGAAACTTTAGGTATTGCTTTCTTGTTTTGTTTAAGCTCAGTACGGTGTAGAAAATATCGATAGAAAACTTTTTAATATACCAAGTTTCAATAAATGGACTAAAAATTAGAAAATATTATTACATCAACAGAATTTGTCTTAATAAGTTTTGATGTTAAAATTTTAGCAAAAGTCATTATAAATAATTTATGAGATTTCATGTGAAAAACGTTTTTTATTTGATTTTTTCCTACTTTTTAGTCGTGTCCGTATAAAATTTCAGTATTTACTACGTTCATTTCTTTGTACATTTCCCTAAATCCTTTCATTAAAAGTAGTGAAAAGGTATAACATACATTTAGGCTCTTCGCTAGAAAGCAATATATGCCGCATACAGAGAACATAGAAAACTAAAAAGGCGCAGAAGTTTACTATTCAATGTTTTTATACCCGAGCGCACTTGTGCACAAGGGTATATTAATTTTGTTCACATAACGGTTGTTTGTAACAGCCAAAACGAATCGAGATAGATATAGACAAATGTATACATAAATGATCAGGATGAAAAAAGAAATCGATTAAGCCATGTCTGTCTGTCCGTCCGTCTGTCCGTCTGTCCGTCTGTCCGTCTGTCCGTGTACACGATAACTCGAGCAAAAATTGAGATATCTCAACGAAATTTGGTATGTAGGTTTCCCTTAATCCAAGGTAGGTTGGTATTGAAAATGGGCGAAATCGGACTTTAACCACGCCCACTTCCCATATAACGGTAATTTCCAGAAATACGAAAACTGCGATATTTTAGTAACTACTGAAGATAATTCACTCAAAATTGATATTTACAATAATTTTTAGACGAAAAATAAGAATATTATAAATTTTTGGAAAATGGGCGTAGCCACGCCCACTTATGGTTACATGTGTATATCTTGGTAACCGCTGCACCAATTTCTTCCAAACTTGGCACAGTTGTTGGCCTTGGTACAGCATAAAAAACCGCCGAAACTTTTTAAAATCGGACAATAACCACGCCCACATCCCATATAACGGTAATTTAGAGAAATACAAAATCTTCGATAAATCAGTAAATATTGAAGCTAATTTATTCAAAATTGATGCTTGCAACAATTCTTTACCAAGAAATACGTTTATGGTAAAATTTTGGAAAATGGGCGTGGCACCGCCCACTTATGATCACATATAAGTATATCGGTAACCGTTCTACCAATTTGTACCAAACTCGGTATGGTTATTGTACTTGCCACGTGTAAGCAAAACGTTGAAAATTATTGAAATCGGACTAAAATAACGGCCGATTCTCATATAACGGTAAATTTAAGAAATGCTTGAAACTTCAATATTTCGAAATTGAAGGACGCTAATTTACTCAAAATTGATACACCTCGGCTTACCATCTAGCGGAAGGTTTCGGAAGGGTGAAAAAACATATATTTAATACTTGCGCCGGGTATTTAATGTTCGGCTCCGCCCGAACTTAGACTTTCTTACTTGTTTAAATTACTTTTGTAAAGTTTTGAATAGCTTTTTTGACATTCATTTTTTACAGCATACGGCCCATTATGGAAAACTATAAGCAAAGATGTTGAAAACATAAAAAACTGAAAATTGTGTGAAAGGTATTGAAGAATTTTTCAGGTTTTAAGGCAAGCCTTCCCTAAAAATGAAAATCATCCACCATCTTTATGAAGGCTTGTTCGAACTTCACTTTCTGATGAAGAGTTTAGAAGGAATATATACATAGGCTAGCTTAACGTTAATAAATCTGTAGTATGTAGTTTATCTGAATGGCAGTAACGTGGTATGTCGATGAAAAATATATGCGGAATCTTAAAAAATTTCAACTATAAATCGCGTGACGTCTTTCGTTCTTCATGCCTTGACTTTAGTAAACATTTCAACCTCATCGATACATCAGACTACTCAGCATCACAGAATTCTGTGAAAAAAATACTTTGAAAATAAATTTAAAAAAGGTTCAAGAATATTGCAATAGCGGTTCTTTCTGAGCTTTTCAATGATATTTTCAAAATGGAAAAAAGTGGTACCAGCTTAAGTGACTCAGAGGTGGGCCAAAGAGTTCGTCACGCCAAAAATCGTCTATAAAATCCATGGAATGATATTGAACGACCGGAGAATGAAAGTGTGTGAGGTGGCTGAGCCATAAATACAACCGTATGACCACTTAAAATAAGTGTTTGGCAATGTTCAGCCGCAATGCGAATCAGTTTTTGCACAGTTTCGTAGACGTTGATGAAACATGGATCCACCGCAATACACCAGAGACCAAGGAACAATCAAGAAGTGAACCAAAGAAGGACCACGGGCCTTTCAGCCAACAAGGTCATGACCACAGTTTTTTTTTTTTGGATGCAGGCGTGGACATTCACAAGGGCTCAACCCTAAAATTTTTGTTAGGTGTAATACTTGCAATATAAGCTGATTCAACAATAAATACATGAACAAATAAAATTTTTAATGTAATAAATTAAATAATTATCATGCATTAAAAATAGCAAATACGCCTTGAAGAAGTGCACATATTTTAAGTAAACGAAACACATGCAAGAGACTGCCTGAATTATAAAGATACAAGTTTGTATTAAAAAAAACGTGGTAACACTTATCGAAAACATCTCTGGATTAAAGTTCTTAAAATAGCTTTCCATATTGTGCTTTTTCAGTTAAATTATGTTGAATCGAAAATAAGTGACAACGGTCTTGAAAATATTTCTGATTTGAAGTTGTAGAAAAAATGTTTCATTTGATATATGTATGTACATACTTATTGCGTTGTTTTAGTTAAACTTTACAGAAGCGAAAATAGGTGGCAATCTTACCCACGTATCCTAAAAAATCTGCCAAACCGTATTGAAACCATTTCTGTACTAATGTTCTCAAAACTATCTCTCATTTGATATCCATATTAAGTTGGTTTAGTAAAATTTTGTAGCACCGAGAACAAGTGGCAACCTGACACTTATATCGTAAGCGATGATACTTACCTTCTTTTAGTATGCATTAAATCACATAAATATATGATGGAAAATAGGTGGCAACCCTATTCAAAAATATCTTCGAATTGGGAATTTCCACCACTTAAGTAGGTGGCAACCCTATTCAAAAATGTCTTCGAATTGGGAATTTTCACCACTTAAGTAGTACTGTTGTATATCATACAGAGAGTGGCGGTTGCATCTAGAAAACTCTGTAGGAATCGTTGGACACTACAGATAGGCGCGGCAGATTGAATTTTAGATACCGAACCCATCCATCTCGATGGTTTTCAAATTTGTACAGCGGGTTACGTGGATCCCAATATCTATCACTAAATAAAATTCACATGGCTTTAAAATTAATTGAAACTAATGTTCTTGAATAGCCTTTTCTCGAAAATTCTACTTTTGCGTTGCTGTACGACCGCAACTTTTGAAAGACCTTCCCGATACCGGCAATTTAAAAATTAGTAACGTAAGTCGCGCGGCTTCCATTTCTATTGGACACCCACTGATAAACTTTTTAACGGTCTCCTTCTGTTCAGGATCCTGCCAGCCGCAGCATAACCTCTTGAAAGCTAAAGTCGTATGAAAACAATTTTATCAGAAGCGATTCTAAGCGGCACAAGGAGATCCAAGAATGTTTCTCCTTTTAATTTTTGAAAAATTATAAAATGACTGTCCTCGGTAGCATTACAAGAAGTTATTTTATTTGAAAAAATTAAGACAAAAAATTGTTAATAAACGATTTAACTATTTTTGAAAAACTGCTATTTATTTTACTTTCAAGTATTCTGTTATCCTCTCAATACATCGTTTAAAAACTTAATAGCTTTCTATTACCTTTTCCGCCATAGCCTTAATACCGATCCAAGTTTCGGAAACCAACTCTAAGATCCTGGTTGGTGCTGGGTTAAAACCATTACCGGCTGCAGGTAATTCCATTGTAATTGAAATCGGGATTTTAGCCGCGGCGAAAGCATAATCATCACTACCACCAGCAGCGGCATACAGAACATTCGTTGAGCTACCCACTGAGTAAACGGTGCCGGTAGCAGCTTTGATGGCATCATAACCGGCCTGAGCTACCTCATCAAGGGCGCGCCAGGTGTCAGGAAGATCACTAAATAGATTTAAATATATGAACAATGACGAACTCAGGCTACAAAAAAAAATCGCTATATCAATGCTTACGAAGTCCAGCCCCATGGGTAAAGCAGATAGTTGCCGTACGAGTGTAGGGTTAGATAGAAGGTTGCACGTCCGGTGAGTGTGTGCATAAGATCACGCAGAGCTTGGGTCTCGGGCTCAGAGAAAGCAGTCCTGCCCCTGAATGTATCTGAGCATGTATAGCTGGAAGCGCCCACTTCACCCCAGTGAAAATCGAAGTTGCGATTACCATCTGTACCATAGCAATTAGTACTTACTGGCTTGCGAGT